TACCCACTAAGGAAAATTACACAGAAGTTTATTTGAAAAGTATATTTTACTATACAATTGCACGACGGTCAAAACGAATATTAAGAGTGAAAATATGACCAAGTACCATTGGAATTCCAATCAATCGAAATTGATTTTTAACCATGTACCATTGGAATTCCAATCAATCAAAATTGATATTTAAGCGATTTATAAATAATATTGTATATTTTTAAGTTTCGTATACTTACGCGACATTTTTAATAGAATTTGTTCTTCTCCCTACACAATTACAATTTAAACTATAGAACGAACAAAATATTATACGAGTATACGGTTTTAGTTAATTTTTATAAATTATGGGAATGTCTCAGAACATCAGAATAGAAATCTAACGATAAACGGGCAAGTGAACTTTCAAAAGTGATTGGCGATTTCCCACTTCCCCGTACGACATCTGTATTCTGTACTCCGTAGCCTATAGCTCAATAGCTGTAATCGTGTACTACACTATAGTTCAATCCACTGGTTAAATTAATAAATTATCACACTAATAATTATTACTATTATTATTGCTGTTAGTGATAACTGATAACCGATAAGGCGACGTGTCAAGCGATATCAAATCGTTCAGCTGTTTTCACTTCGTAAATAAATCGTGGGCAATATCCAATAACCTAATAATTAACACTCAGCGGATGGCGGCGGCAGCGGGTGGAATAAACAGCCGACTGATCTATCTTTATTTTATGGACGCATTTAAATGTTCCATATAAGTCTATAACGTATCATTACAGTTTATATTATATTATAAATGTGTATTGTGTAATAGTTTATCATTTTATCGTTCTGTATTCAGACTTCAAATATATAATAAATTAATAAATAATAATATGCCGAGATTATATAATTATTGGTTTTTTTTTTTTATTGAAATTTCAATTAAAAGTAATGGCATTGTCGTATTGTCAATAATTATTTATGTTTGTATACTACGCATAAAATCGTTTACCAAGTTTAAACATTCGATAAACCAATCTATTGAAATAACAATTAAAATGATCATATTTTTTTAATCTATATTTAAAATAATCGTTACGTGTATTACAACGTAATAATATGACGTATACTACATTGAGTATATTATTATGTTTATGCCACTAAACGATTGCTTGCACTACACAGAGTGTCTCAGATGGACATAAATTGGAATAAAATTATTATGACTTGCTGAGCGTAGGCAAATACTTAAGAATACATGCATTCATTATTATTTACGGGAAGACGGAAGTTAAAAATTTCCATTTACATCAGCGCAACTACGAAATATAATTTTATAATCCACCGCTTAAACGGATATGTATTTATTTGTATCTTGCACCATTTATACCAACAAGTGTCAAGTAGTAACAACTTGCAGGCTATCTTTGGGTCATAAGATGCTGGACGAGTGGTACTTACTCGAACAAATAGGTAGGTTACACCTAGCCACCTAGGCATAGGTGGTACGAAGGGAAGGAAGGGGAAGGATAGGCAACTGACCCTCCAGCGGACCGTACCTGTGTTAATATATAGTTCCTTGAATCTCGGTTTTTCAACTTTAAAAAAATGTATTTTTATTGTTTTTTAAATACGAAATTTGTTGCTGCAATAAACATGGGCTCACAAGTATATAACAATATTATGCAATATCACTGCAGTCTATAATCTCCCTATTCTTAAGCCCATGCCATTATTCACAATAATTATTTTATTGAACGTTGCGATTATTTTGAGGACCCCATGTTGGTTATCAGAGTTTAAAAAAAAATGTATACAAAAAAATCAACTAGAGTTAAATTAAAGAAAATAAATGGAAAAGCGCACGTGAGTGCCTGCAAGCAAATGCATTTTAAGAATCAAAAAAAAATGTTTTAAATATATATTATAGGTACATACACCCAAGAATGCAGCCTATAAATGTCCGTTAATAATAGTAGTATAAAAAAGAGAGCGCCAGCCACTCATCCCTATGCCGGTTTCCTCATCTTGACCATACCAGGTGCTCATCCGAATGAGCCGCTCATCCCATCACCGGTCACGTACTTGCGGTGGTGGGATGAGCACCGATATGGTCGGGATGAGCAAGCCGGCATATAGGGATGAGCCAGCAGGATGAGTGGCTGGCGCTCTCTTGTTTATACCACTTATGTTGTTTAGGAAATGCTAATATTAACATTCAGTGAACATTTCATGTATCTACGGTTCTTTGTTTTAGAGTAACATCAAAAACCAAAATCGATTTTGTCGAAAACATGTTTTGTGTTCTATTTCCCGTTATTCCTTATCAATACTTAAGCTTAAAACTACTGGGAATTGCTGGCGCTGTATGCCTTTACCAGACGGCGCAAGTACCTAGTTAGTAGTAACCACTTAACCATTAACCAATATAAACCTATTGCATTCTACTGAAAAACTTGTATATGTAATTAAAATATGGTAATAAATAAATAGTAGGTAGATATATTGTATACATAAATATATTGAATATTAGCGGCTCTGCCCGGCTGCGACGTTAACACCTTGTTGATACCTGAGGGCGGTGTTGAACTCTCCCGGGTCAAGTGGTCAACATTATTTTTAGGTACCTCGTACTTCAGTACTTGATGGAAATGTACTAAGAAAATAAATAAGCTCATACTTAATTATATCATTAGAAATTAGAATGATATAATTATAATGTATAAACGAAGTTATTAGACTCAGGAGAGTTCAGGTGTCAATAAAATCAGTAGCGTTACTTACAATCCCCCACATCTGACTGTGTAGTATATTATACTATATGCCATAGGTTTTTTTAAATAATTAAAATGTGTTATATATTCTCAAGACTGTGAGGGCTGAAGCGTCTATATCGTGGGTCGACTTTAATATGGACTGCCTAAAGAGTAAAGGTTACATTCTAATTTATTGAAATACTTAATGTATTTTCTATTATTATAGGTATTTAAATGTGGTATATTCCCTGAAAATGTAGATTGGTACCTACCACCTACGAGAAACGAGCATATATATTAGCTTGTTAATTTTTTTTTTTTAATTAAGTTTAGTTCATTTAAAAAAAGGGATTTTTAATTGTTATATAGTATTGGTTATTAATGGAACAAATTTTTAAATGATTAAATAAAATAATACGTCCAAGTTTATGAGAAAAAATGTCTAAATGAATTAATGTATTAATCATAAATTCATAAAATATTTGTGTTGAAATGTTATCAACAATCAGTATACCACAGTCCACAAATACGATAAATACCACAAGTTTTATACAATCTTGGTTCGTGATAAATATTGCATTTTTTTCGTAACATAATAAATTAAAATAAAACGTATTGTCATATTGATATTAATTGACCGTTCTGCAGTACTATTATTATTTCTGCCTTCTACCAGAAATTTTAAATTAGAGTATGTAGTTGATACTTGATTGTACAATGTACATAACATATATAGGCTATATAGTGTATATACATCAATGATTCTCAACTTTTTTATAGTGACGATTCAACTTTTTCAGTTTATTATGGATAGCCAAAATGTCGATATTATTCGGAGGCGGCAGAGGCTTGATAAAAATTGTATGTGTCCCCGCGGGAAGGAAATTTCAGTCTTGGGCAAATTGATGAACGTTGTCACCCCCGACAGCAGAAATATAGCTCACAGTTATGTTCGTGATTTGGCATATATTGAATTGAATAGAACATTTTTGCATAATCAAAATACATATAAATTTAGAGTTTCTAAGAATTTATTCGATAAAACGAATGTAAAGATAACGGAGATCTGTAGGTAATTACAGTTATTTTTTTATATCATAAACTCGTAAATAGACTATTAAATATTAATTTTAAACTGCAGCCTGCAGTCGGTTGTATTATTTAAAAGGAAAGATTTTAGGCTTGTGCTGCTAGTGGACTGCGGTTGTACATTAGTTAATTTAATGGCCGTTAGTACTTACTACTTAGTACGGGTGTACGACGCATGTTGCCGTGTATTTTTTTATAGTCGTGAGTCGTGACGTCGTGTATAGATACAACAACTTTATTTTAAAGTGATATTTAGTGTAACATTTATAATATGATAGTATGATACAAACGATTTCGTGAAGAATTCCTAAAACTTCCAAGTGATAATGCAAACTAAGACAATTTATTGAAGAATTTTCTGATGACGTTTTTATGACTGATGGTAAAATACTTAATATCAATCAAATAAATTAATTTTTACATAAAAACTGTTTCATATGTGATAGATTTCAAAATATTTTTTTATATATTTATTGCACATTAATCCTAGCTTAATACCGTTATTTTTTAACTATTGTTTTCACATAGGTAGGTAGTCTATAAAAAAATATTAACAATAAAAACACTTGCCGTGTTTATTGTTATTTACAGATAGGTACACAGATAATTTGTTATACCTCATAAAATGCATGATAGTATTGCATAGTATTACTTTGTATACTGTATAGTGTTGTATTTGTAAGTACCTATGAAAGCCTAGGCATTAAATTACTCGATTAGATAGATATAATACTATAATAGTTATTTTGTGTTGTTTTTTTTTATAAAAGGCGCTTAATACGCGTATCGTCACATAACACCTTTTACAATTGACTAGTATGATAAATTTAAATCAAACTGTTAAAAAAACTAATAATAAAAGTGATTAGTCCATAATATTGCGAGCGATTTGCAGTCAGTGGCGTCAGTTAACAGCGAAACAAACAACAACCAACATAATTGTAGACGATCAATAATTATTTTTGCATCTACAGTCACACCAAAAATCTGCATTCCGGTATAGGAAATTAGAAACTGCGCGTTTCTAAATTGTTATTTGTTGCAAACTTAAAGTAGTTCTGTAGCTGTAAATTGGTATGTAAATAATACAATATAAATAATTTCAATGATATATGTTGAGTTCAGAGTTGCATAAAAATAAATACAATTAAGTGGCCGTCTTGAAAAAAAAATATTTAATGAAACAATCATAGGTCATTAAAATACCTAATCGTGTTAAAGAGACGGGGCATTAGCTTCTAATTTCTATCGAATATTGATTCATTAAATGTTTGCTGATTAGGTAGTGATTGTTTTTGCAACCCGCCAATAATGTATTAATGTCTGAAGTTGTGACGTCTGTTGAGTGTTGATCGTTAAAAAGTGAATACTAAACTTTGACCTCGACTGTTTACCATACATACGTATCATTGTATCAATATTACAGTATAAACTATAATGTACATACATATTACAATATATATTTCTATATAGCCATATAGCCATGTAGGTACCTTAGATTGCTAACTTATAAACTAGAAGCATGACATCATGGTCATATACACAAAAACACAACATGTATTAATAATATGATCAAAGCCCTAAGCTAACACATGTTCGTTATCAGTTGCGATAACGATGTCGTTATCAGACGTTACTCTTTAAACAACAGAAAAAAAAAACAATATCGAACGAAACGATATTACTTACGTCCAATTCGATTTCGTAATACTACTTCAATATATATCGTCTCAATTACTTCACAGTTTGCGACGTTTGCGTTAATGACTGCAGCGTACTGAAAAAAATTACGCATCACGAACGTTTCCTGATGTCATTTTCTATGTCAAGGACAATGGTGGTGGCCCACAGCTGCCAAATATATTGTCAACAGACTTCAACGTTCATTGTATGAATGATGGAATACGAAAAATATCTCCGACCACTTCAGCATGCATGATGGCACACGATACGCAGGTAAATAAACCGTAAACTACTTTTTTTTTGAGGAAGTTTAATCTCAATAACAATGGTTGTTTGATTCAGAAAAATGATCCCAACTCTACAAATGTGTTGCACAGTTTGGCGGCGGGAGCCATCGCCGGAGCTTTAGCCAAGAGTACAATTGCTCCATTAGATAGAACTAAAATCAATTTTCAAGTAAGGATTGTGTATGATCAAAAATTATCATTTACTTTTCAGTCAGTAATGAATGCATACTTTTGTAAATATTGATCAATTTTAATATTTAGATATCTCAAGAGCCATACTCTGGTAGAGCTGCGTTTAAATTTTTGGCTGATACTTATGCAAAAGATGGTTTTATTTGGCTATGGCGAGGCAATACAGCCACCATGACCAGAATCATCCCATATGCAGCCATTCAATTTACAGCATTTGAACAATGGCGAAAATTGCTGAAGGTTGATTCTCTAAACACAAAGTAATATTATTATTTATGCTCATTTTTTTGTGCCAATTACATAATAATTTAAAGGAATAAGCATTTTTAAATATATAAATAATTCTATGTTAACATTAACATTGTATTTGTTAACTCTAAAATGAGAATAAATTATTCATTATGTTAATTTCAATTTTAGTTAAAAACAAGTTAACCTTAATATTTATAAAAAAAATAACACCTACTGCTATAAAAATGACATTTTTTTTTTTTACTTTTTCTTTAGTTTCTCCATCCTAATAAATATTTGAGTTAAAATATAATTTTAACAATAAATGTAATTTATTTATGAAATACTGTTTTGCTTATATAGCTTGCATATAGGTACTGCTATGTACATAATTATTTTTGATTCATCAATGATAGAATAGGTTTTAAAACTAAATTTTAATTTTGAAATTATATACAATATCATAGAATTAATATAACCTGTTAGTTTGCTTTATCCTTATAAAAGTCCAGTTCTATGGTTAGTTTTATAAATGTATAATGTAATAGTTTTTAAATATTTTAAATATTATAAATATTAACAAACAGTATATTAATCATTGTTAATTTTGAATTATTCACATACTGAATTTCACTGATTTTACGCTTGTATTATGCTTGTATTATTTTTTAACTAATATGTCCACAATCAACACTCATTGAAAAATAAAACAATAAATAATTGATAGTTACATACTTAAGCTAAACATGGCTGCTATTATTAATTTAAATGTTTGTTAAAAAAATATATAAGTAAAATAAACAAATAAGTAATATATACAATAATTAAGTAATTAACTGTTAATAGTGAATAGTTATAAAAGCAGTATTCAATATATATTGGATGCTTAGTGGACTTTAGGCCTATAATTTTAATTTTTATAATCATAGATTTTGTTATACATGTACAATGTATATTGTGCAGATATTTTAATGATTAATGAACTAAATAATACAGAATTATTATTATTATATTTACATTTTAACTTAAAAAATTGATTTTTCCATGCATGTTTACACATTTTAATTAACATTTTACAAGGTTTAATTTTAAATAAATAAATCAAAAATTTAATCAATGTTAATTTAATTTATATTATAGTTTTAACAGAGGGAAATAATAATAGTTATTATTTCTATTTTATAATTTGATTGTTGATTATTTTTTATACTATCATCAATTTAATACCATACTATATTTATTTTTTAGAAATAATGGAGGTCTTAAGTTTCTTTCTGGATCATTAGCTGGAGTCACATCACAAACGCTCACTTATCCTCTAGACTTGGCAAGAGCAAGAATGGCAGTTTCTACCAAAAATGATTATAAGTCGTTGGGAGATGTAAAGTATTTAATTTTAAATGGTTTTTATAAATGTAGTTAAATTAATTATTTAGTTAGAAATATTTTGAGTGTAATTGACAACACGGAATTAGCATAACTGCATTGGCGGCTTGACCTACTGGGATCCCTGGAAATTCCCAGTGGCTTGGCCTATAATGGCATTACCAATCACTTAGATGAATGTTGGCTATAATACATTTATTTGTATAAAAAATCCAAGATTCATTTTAAAATTTAAACTTTAGATTGATTAATATTGTAAGAAAGTTGGTCACTTCACTATTTTAATTGGCCCCACTAAAATCAATTAAATTGTTGAGTTTGGAATCTTTTATAAACTAATTGCTATATATTTAAAAATTATATTGATAGGTTTGTTATAAAATGTTTGAAAAGGTAAGCTACTTATTTCACTTGTTCCTTCCAAATTTTGTGTAAGAGTTAACTTGAGGATATTTGCAAAAAATGTTGCCTGTCATTTTTTCCCAGACCGCCCACTATCAACCTCAATCAGTCATTTTATTCCATAATATTTATAAGTGAACTTAAGTAATTGAAATAAACCATATTATTTATTTATTAGGTTTTCAAAAAAACTTTCAAAGTTGAAGGGATAAAAGGCTTTTATCGAGGTTATGTGCCAACAATACTAGGCATTATACCTTATGCAGGTACAAGTTTTTTCACTTATGGCTCGTTAAAGTCATTTATGAAAGGTAAGTATTCATATAACACACACTTAACAACTATTTTTTTTTAAAATCCTATATTTTATAATACAGAAAAACATGGATATGAAAATACGATTGTGAATTTAGCATGTGGTGCAGTGGCAGGTATGGCTGGTCAATCATCATCATATCCTCTAGATATTATTAGGCGAAAGATGCAAACATCAATAATTACTGGAATAAATTACACTAATCTCAGAACGACATTTATAATAATTTATAAGTAAGATATTTTTATTCATTAAAAGTACGATGGAGCACATTCTTATCAGAGCAACATTTTTGTACTATGAGAGCACGCTCTTTAGTTATTCCAACTTTGTCAAATTCAATCTTATGTTTATCAAAGTATTTGTTGAATTCAACCAGTAGTGAACCATAGATTAATATTATTATAGCAAAGGCTATATGCATATTTTATCAATGATATTACAATATTAGTTATCACATTTTGTAATATTTTGTAACAAATGCTTTAATTAATTTCAAGTTAATATTTTTAAATTTTAGTTATAATCTACATAGCATATACTTCTCGTTAACATCACAAGAAAAATAATGTTATAGTATCATTATGTCTTGAAGAAATAATCAAAAATAATTAAGTACCTTGTAATTTTAAATGTAACTTAGTTACTAAAGACTGTAATTTCAACTAGTAACTAGTTACAACTAATTGAGTAAACCCATCCCTGATTGTAAATCAGAAATAAAAATAAAAGGATTCTTCATAAACTGGTTATATTTTACTTGTGACTGTATCTAAACCAAAAAAGTAATTTTCCTTACTAAATTAATTGTATAGCAATGTTGCATGTAACTTTTTGCTCCATCGTATTAGTTTCTTGGGTGAATTATTTGTGAAAATATGTACTATGATATATTGATATATGTGAAAGTGCTAAATTGTTTGACCAAAAAGATACAATGTGCTCAATCTATTGAGAATCTTATTATTGCTTATAAATAAACAACTGTGGTAATAAACATTTTATCTTAATTCTAGAACTGAAGGCATTAGACAAGGATTTTTCAAGGGCCTAAGTATGAATTGGATTAAAGGTCCGATTGCTACTGGAATCAGTTTTGCTACATATGATTTTGTAAGGAAAACTTTGAAGAACATTTGAAGTTTTTAATATTAATTTACATCACTACTGTGCCTAATTTGATCATATTGTTACCATTAGATTGTATTGATTTTATTTGTTTGAAGCCTTTTAATGTGTATGAATTTTAACAAATTTTCTAAAATTAAGTAATTACTTATATTTTTTAAAATAATATAATATCTAGTCAAATAATTTTAATTTTGATAAGCAAGTTTGAACAAAATTTTATAATACCACTAAAGTCATTGTAAATACTAAACATTAAAAAATATCTATCAATATCAGCAACATTTCTTCTTGCTGATAATTTTTGTTATTGTTTAAAAAATTGTGATTAATTGATTATTATGTTAGTTTGGATAATAATTAACTGCAACAGATTATTACTTAGCTTAAATGTCCTGTTTGAAACTTTAAAGATGTATTATTCGTTATTTTAATAGTTATTTAATTATATCGTGAATGATAGGAAGGAATATTTAAAAGAACATAGCTCTATAAACATAAATTTGTATCCGAAAATATTTAAATCATCAGTATTTATTGACAGAATAATTTATTTGTATAGTATTATTTTGTTTAAACAATTAATGGGATTATGTCTGTAAATATTGTTATTTATATATTTAAACAGGGAAGTTGTTACACTAGAAAGTTTTAAGTTGTATTTAATTAATTGAAATTAAATAAGTAAATTTTGTGTATATTTATTAGTGTCGTGATAGTTTCTAAAATTGGTAACTGACAAATGTACAGCATTATTTCTAATAATTCAACTATAGAAAAAATGGTTAGGAGAATGGAATATTCAAATCACTTTTTCTCAATCTTTGAAAATTAACCATAATCTAAAATATTTTGATACTCCTTAATTTTATACACTGAAGTTACCACCATAGGTATACATATTTATTCTTCATTAAAATTAGAGGAGTACTTCATTTCTTAATTTATAACCATAAATAATTCAATTTTTAGGGGGCTGGAGCCGGTTATAACTAATAATTACATAGAACAAGCCTAAAGCTAAACAAAACTATGAGACTTGAGTTTGACGGATTTTAATCTTGAAAACTAATTGAAAATCTTCAACAGCTGTACTAAAGCATGAATTATTATCACAACAATTAATGGAGTACATAAATATATAAAATACTGACATTTTTTGTTGTTAAATTTTTGATATTTCATCTGAGAATTTGAATAAATAAAATCTCCTCGGCTATTCCCTATCTTAAACGACCAATTAATTTCCATTTCAAAATTAAAATCCAACGAATCCAAGTCCCTCAATTTCTTCTAGCTTTTTGGCATTTTATCATTTACACAGCATAGTATATATTTGATAAAATCTGTATCATTGACATGTTTCTGTGTGTGATTTATTTGTGGATGGTGAGCTGTCGGTGCCCCGTACTTGATAACAAATTTTACGAATTACACTAAAATTCATTTACTTCTCTCACAGCAACACAGCTGCTAAAATATAAATGGTATTTGAAATGCCTGAATATTACTCATTAAAACATGTCACACTCTAGCCCCTTTAATGCAATTACTATTTTTGGAAAACCACTCACGACACTATTTTTATTTAACATTTTTACTGATAAAATTATTGTAATCGTTTTTCATTGTTATTACTTTATTTGTTATTTGAATCTGAAATTAATATTTAATACATTAGTTCTTAGACAATCTCTTAAAAAAATAATATTGGTATTCTTTTCCACCAAAATTACCATAATTATAAACAATATTGTACACTTGTAAATTAAAATGTTTATGTAATTTTTCAATGTTAACAACAATATGTTGTAATTTATAGTTTTAGCTACTAATTAATTTTACATACTAGATGAATTATTTGAAAATATTTATTCTTTGCATTCTTGAGCTAGTTCATTCATTTGATTGCTAACGTCGTTGAACTCTGAAAATAATAACAATTCATAAATATACCTATTGTAACGGACAATAATGTAATGTGCATAAATGTAGTTTTAAAGACTGATTGAAACTGTATAATTGTGTCAATATGAATAATCTTAAAATTTTTTTAAATAAATTAAAAAAGTTAAAATTTATTACATATTGTGTTAATGTTGTACGCAGGTGGGTTTTGAAAATAATCTCATAGATATCATGTACATATTTTAGTGAAAATGTGCATTAAATAATCTAAGGATTGAATAAATATGTAGATACTAACATCAAAGTAGCTCTTTCCATTACTTCATGTTTAAGCTATAATTATAGCCTATAGGAGCCAGTCAAAACATCAAACCTATTTACATCATTCTATATTTCTATGGATGATAGGTGTTGAACTCAACAACTACAAAGTAAAAGTAAATATAAATTTTATTGTATTTACTCAAATTTAACAGCCATTACAGTGACCTCAATGATGATTGATGAGGTACACTTAAAATTACTAGCTAAGCTCTATAGCCAGTGCTTTTTAGAAGTGGCTTGTTTTTTCATGCATTTGGATTAATAAGAGAAAGAAAAACCAATATACATCCAGAGGAGTCCAATTTTGATTTTGATAAATATTTTTACTTGTTCGCTTTTTGTCTGTGCTTTGTAAGAAATTTTTTTTTAGTGACACTACGGTGAAAGTGAATTTTCAAAAAAAAAAAAAATAATTTTCAATACTAATAAACTTAATATAGTAATATACTATACTAATTAAATAAAAGTTACAACAAAATCGAAAAACCATTTACCACAAAACCTAGAAAAGAGAATATTATGCTGCATTTAAATGTTCTCAAAATTAAAATCGGATTTTCGGTACCGAGTGAATTTTTCCTCGCTTTTAGATTCTCAGCGGAGCTATGAATGTATTGATCTTAAAATATAATGATGTGTGTTCTTTTATTTTTTTTGCGTCATCAAGGTTTGGGGCAGCAAAAGTGCTCCGATTTTCTTCATCGGCAACTTTACTGGTAGGAAAGTGAATTGAGTTGGTACATTCGGGAGGTCAAAATTTAAAATTCCAGATAGTTTTCAAAAGTGATAAGAATAACAAGAATTTTAAAACTTAGAACCAGTTTAAAAAAAATCGATTTTGGTTTTTGGTGTAGGCATTTGAAATTTTCGTTTATTATTATTTGTTTTTTTTTAAACCAATGCCGAGAACAAAATTGCCCATTTGTCAAATAACTTTAAAATGTAATACAAGGTTCCTCATAAGTTGTTGTTGGTGGAAATTAAAAAAAAAGTTGAATGTGTGTCCACAATTATTTTTTATGAGCGTTTGAATTAAGAATTTTGACAAAATTCGTAAAAATCACCAAAATAAGTGAGTTAGAAATTCATAAAATTTTTTCTTTTTATTTCTAAGATTTAAAAATGTAATACAAGATTCCTTATAAGTTTACCCTTATCAAAAAAAAAGATTTTGGTTTTCTACCGGAAAGTCAAATAAAATTTTTATGAGAGTTTGAAGTTGAAATTTTTACAACATGGATATTCACTCGATTTCTTGTGTAGCGATTTTCTTATTTTGTTGTAATTAAAAAACGAATAACCGTAGACACTTACAATTTATACCATTTATTATTTATCGATTCATATAGTTGCTTATATGTACTAAATATTATACAAACATATTTTAATAAAAACAAATGAAAGTTGATTAAAAATGGCATTTAAAATTAATTAGAATTCAAATTATTATATTCTATGGAAAATTAATTAAATTAATAGTTAATAGGGACAATAATTGTTGTATTTGCACGGCAAAAGTCGAAAAATATAACCACTCATCAAATAGTTCTTAAATCAGAATGTGAATACCAAATCACTGAATTTAATATATCTGAATGTAAATAGATATAGGTAGGTAAATTAAAAATATCAATGCAATAACTAGTAAGTAATAAGATATACACTTAATTCAAACATATTAAACAATCGAATCATATACGTAGGTGTTCTTAACTTCCATTATCCATAGTAAGTACCTACCTATACATATTTTTCAACATACTTTTTATATTTTTTTTTTTCTTTCTGTAATTCAATACTCTTGAGATATTGAGTATTTGATTAAATCTCAATTTCCATATGGGTACACATTTTTATTTGTTCATAATATGTAGGAAGAAATGACGAATGAAAATTGATAAAAAACCCGAATTCGAAACTATTTCCTTAAAAAATTACAGTTTTTATTGGCTGAACTATTTTTCATTAAAAGTTGCATAATTTTGAGTGAAATCAATTCAGCTTTTTGCAATTACGTGTTGAATATTGAAAATATTAACGAAACGAAATACTATGATAAATCAGCACTTATTGTTTGGGAATTTGAATTGCAATAAAATTTATATATATATATATTAATATAATAGTATGCGTCATGTACAACAATGTATTTACAGATATATATGCACCTACCTAATATTGATACCTAACTGATAAGTTACTGCACTCGCCACTCATACAAAATAAAATATTTACATATGTAACATATAGTACATATTTACATATGTTTTTATTTTATATCATGATTGTAATTCTAATTTGGTATCAATAAATATTATTATTATTATATGTAACGTTTTATTTCTTTCATTAACCGTCTGTCCTTGAATTTTGTGTTTAAAAAGATAATATTTTTGTACAGACTTAGGAATTAAATTTTAAATCTATTTAAGGCGATTATATATTCATGAAATGAAATTTTTTTTCTGAAAACAAAAATATCAATTAATGCACCAAGGACTATTGCATATCGCAATTGTTTCAGTTGAGTAGTCGAGCAGGTACCCACAAAATATATATGCTTAATAACAAATATGTTTAAAACACGTGTTCTCAAAACATATAAAAAGAATACCTACGAAATGTAATAAAATCAGTTCAAGTTGTTTATTTATTATTTGCATACGTTGGATAACATTTGTAATTTCTATGAAAAAAGGTACAGATAAGAATGTCAATTTTGAGTTTAAAATTTAAAATTATTATTTTGCTCGATCATTGGTTGAGCCATTGACGAATATGACGTTAAAAAAAGTTACACAACAATAAAAAATCAACGTCCCAGCACAAATCAAAATGGGTGTATTTAATGTTGTCGAATAACGGGATTTCTAGCAATTATGTAAATTTAATAATAACGTAAAGTCAAATAAACTTATTATACACAAAATTTAATTTAACAATTTTAAACTAGACCATTATTTTCTATATTTTCGAATTTGTTTGTCTAATTGCATTTTATTGTGAAGTTATACATGTATGACATAATATGTAAGTTTCATACATATGTTTTTTTATTATATGCGATTTAAACAAAAAATATAGCAAGGGAATGTGACTTACTGGCTATTTTTTAACGATCATCCCTTTTTTCATACAAAGTAGGTATGTACCTAACTATATACGAAGTTCATTTTTCTATACAAATAAGATTATAAGTATATGGTATATATATAAATTAAACTGACATTACAATGGCCGTTGGTGACGAATTTAACAGGGTCTAGTGGGAATATATTACGATGATAGGATAATATTATACAGGAGGAATAGATTCATATATACTGTTGCATAAGAATAATACGGGGCATTTTTCGTGACTATTTTAATGCACCTGGGAGCGTGATATTTGGGACAGAATTTTATATAGGTTAGTACCTACATAATGATATTAAATTATAATATGATATATTTTAATTTTATCATTCTTGTATGATGAAATATTATAATGATCATGAATTAATTAAATTATTAATAAGTACATTTTTAAAAATATATAGCCTCGGTGGCTATTTTTGTGTAGGTAGGTACACTATAATACACTATGAGCATTTCAAAATCTGCACTAAGTGTACTACAAAAATTAAAAATGTGCACCTGTCACCTAATATTTTATATAGATAAGAATATAGATATTTTATATATCCATGTTCCATCATACTGTAGATTAAAGATTATAATTTATAAAAATAGATTTGTTATTTTTTAAATAATGTTTTTGAAAAGATAAAACCTAGAAATTGTGTTCATTGGGTGTAATGAATAATAAATTAACATGCTTCATCTTTACTAATTTTCAATATTTATATGAAACACTAAACAGAATAATAAGGTGCCAAGGAAAATATGATTTCTTAGTTGTGGACATGGTGAGTGTTTAAAATTTTAAATACTAGTGTTTGAGAGTAATAATTTAATTTCGAATAGTTCACTTCTTAATATTATAATTATAGTTGAGTAAAATATGGAGGATAGTACTATAAAAGTAAAAGCCAAATAGAAAATGCAACGGACCACAGTCTACAACTATAACAGATTTATTATACAAGTTATAGGTTTGTATTTATTAGATAAACCTAGAGATGGACTGGTCCGAGTGGTTAAAGGTAGGAAACCTTATGAGGTATCTATTGTGTTAAATATACAAATCTTAGATATTAATAGAAACATATTTATGAATTCTAACTCAAAATAATTTGCAAATTTTTATGATTTTATTCTAACATCAGACGCGTAGATTGACATGTATTATTTGCAATCATGTTTTTCCGTAAACTTTGTTATTCTTTCGATTGTATACTATTTACCAATATTATGCATAATCTTATGGGCCCACCAAAAATTCACTTTCTCAAAGACACTTCTCGTTTAAGATATTGGCGATAGAGTCCTAAAAATATCTTACCTACTCTTGAAGAAGCGCATGTAGAGTGGGGAGAGGGGTGGATATCCCCTTGACTTTTTTTTGTAACCATTGAACTCAGTAACCAATAACTTAGAACAACAAAATATAACACATTATTTTATTAATTTTTAAGTTAATACCTAGTATTTATTAATATACATACTAAATGTGACGGCAATTGGTTATCATGCCACCGAGAAGAAGGAATAAGTACCGATGAAGTTATTGAAAAACTTAGTTTTAAAAAAGAAAATTATATTTTAAATTAAAAACAAACATTAAATTTTACTAGGTACCATTTATTACCTCAATAATAATCAACTTGTCTCTACAAGTTGCACTATTTCCCACCATATTATATGCGTAATTACAAATGTTCTACATACCAGCAATTAAAAGTTGAATTTGTTCCTTAGTTAATGTGAATTTATTTTCTTCCGAAATTGTAGATGTATTATTATAATTTAATTTCATCACATATTCGCCATCATTTCCTTTGGATATATCAACATTATTCAAACGACCAATTTGCAAAGATTCATTCTTCAACACTTTAGTTATTTGAGATAAGTTGTCCAAATATACTCTACATAGCGCTGAAGCATGTTCACGTGGCAAACCAATCTGTAAATGGGCGGTATAGTATTAATTATCATTTTTTTACTTAACAATAGAATACATGATACATGGATCTAATATAAATGTATATGTAAATTAACCAACGTTCTTAGAAAATATTTAAAAAAGGATCAACTTATATGATTCTATTGCTTCTACAAAGTTTAATGTTATTATGAATATTGTTGACCATTCAAATATAGAGATTATAGGTACGGAAACAAATTTAAATAATACTTGAATAAACCCGATTTGTATAAATCTAATATTTAACTAGTATTTTATTTAACTTCAGGATTAAAAATATTAACTTTAAAACATAACTGTATTAGTGGAATTAAAAATTTTATATAATAAATCAGAACTTAAAATTTATTTTATGGAGTTGTACTTACTATGTATGTGTTATTACATAAGAAATAACTAGGCATATCAATGACCGCCAAAGTTTAATAAAGTCTATTAATAATTTAATTAACTGCTTCCGATAGTTTTTAGAAGTTATAATTAACTTTAAATGCATAATATTATTTAATTTATAAAATTTAAAAATATACTTGTTGTAGTTCGTTAGACAGATAATTTTGAGAAACAGCATGACAGGAAGCATTTTTTAGAATATACGTGATTGCAGCTACACATGCTTTACAATTTTCAACATCTAAATAAAAAAATATATGAAAAATATTAATAAAAATATTTTAATTGTATTAAGAAGACCTAAGATTCATTCCACAGATTAAAATTATTTTAGATAGATATGTCGCATATGTATTATATATATATATATACGATGTATAGTATATACTAAAATAATGACTGCATCCAAATTGCATGTCGTCTCTTAGAGGGGTCTGTCCGAATTGCACGCTGTGAATTACATGTTTATTTATGATAACCTGCACTTAGGTATGTGCATAACTCAAACTTATTTTTGGACTTTTATAATTTAAGATTTAAAATAAAACAATTATTTTCCAAATGTCTAATTCGTTATTATTATTATATTGTAGCGTTACTTGTAATTTTAATTTAAGCCTGAATAATTTAAAACTATTCTCCCTTTAATATTAACCGTTTTATAAATTGCTATTACTTTAGATTATTATTCATAAAGATTTTTCCGGAATTAATATTATTATTATATATTTGCCATATTGACATATTTTATTATTATGAATTGTCGCCATCCATTAAATTTGAAAGTATTATTTATTTTAAATACCATGTAAAATACATTTACTTGATTACCCTACATTAAAATAGTGTTATTTAATATTTATCATTCAAATTTTGACCTCCTACAATATGTATACATTTTATGGTGATTTAACAAAAGCCTGTTCTTTCAGTGGAAAAGTAAGTTATTTAGCTATTTTATTCAGACATAACCCTCCAAGAGATAGCATGCAATTAGGACATTTTAATTTATATTAATATTTTTGGCATGCACTTTAGATGTACCGAAAATAATGTATATTAAAATATTAATACTTTTAATACATTTTTATGGCTTTTAAATATATTAAAAATAGTTCATGACATTATGCTATAATTATTACTATTTAATCAGAATGTACACAATAGAAACCATGTGTCGAGCGGTCGACTGACCAAGACCATATTACGCCGACCAAGACAAAAATGTGTAAAAATAAAACATTTAAATATTTTTTGTTCCTCTAATGAAATTGCTATATAATCAATAATTATAAGATTATAAAATATTATAGGTATTTAGACATTAGTATGGTTTTTTTACAGGCTTTTAATTACATTATTTATTTTATTTTCATAAACGACTAAATTATTGAGTGTTTAAAATTAAAAATTTTAATTTAATTTATAACTCATAAGTAAATGACAATATAATATCTTATATAATTATAAATTTCGAAAACCTTGAATACTTTAATAAATTATATTACGTGTTTATAACCTCACTAATCAACCTAACACCAAGACAAATCTAAAGCAGATACATACAATACTAAAAGTATATACTAAATTAAATAAATATTTAGTGATTCCTTTAGCGTGGCTGTATATTGGAGAATATGAGATAACGTCCCACTAAATTTTATATTATAAAATAAATTAGAGCTCAGCGTTGTGTCCGGATCCATTGGGCGTAGTATAACAAGATACAAAATATAGAAATTGATTTATGGTCTAGAGAAGAAAACACCCTAAAGAGATTCTATAGTGTACAATGAGCATCAAAGAACTGTTAAGTAAAGCCATAATAATAAAATCATGGTTTGTATTCTATGAGTGCCGCACATCCACTCCACATTTTTAATAAGATAAATTCAAGGGAAAAATAGATCATTTGTGATTAGGACTAAAAGTTTCTTTAGATGACAGCGGAAGTGTAACCTTATTATAACTACATAAAAATAATTTTGTTTCTACCCAATATTTCGCCATAGCATTATAAATGACCAGCCTTTAATGTTATACAACTTATATACATGATAAATAAGCCCTTTATTCAATGTTCAGTATAAAACAATAGCAAATGGAAATATGTTGAAATAATTAATAAATACTAAGCAAATATGCAATTAATTATATAAGAGAAAAGTAAATGAAAAATTAACAACTAATATTTTTAGTTTGTATCACTGCATAAATAATTGACAATTATTTTAATGATTAAATTTGTAAAATTTAAGCCTGAAAAGTTGAGTAAAATATATTAGCTGAAAATAAATGTTAACAAGATCGTTAAATTTGTTAAAATTGACATAATTTAATAATTTAATAATTTAATTCGTTTTACATTGTTAATGTATAATACAGTTTATTACTAAATGAAAATACCAACAAAAAAAAAATACTTGCGGTACTTAAGTATATAATGACTATTTTTTTTTATATATTATTCAATTGATTGATATATTATTCCTATTATAACTAATCTAACCTATTATTGAAGGTTTTATATAATAACTATTGGCTATTACGTTATAATCTTAACCTCAAATATTCATAAACTGGTAAACCATTTTCCAAGATTATATTTTAAGAAAAAACAATTTAACTTACCCAGTTTAGCATCAGCCATAAGCTCCTTAGCTTTTTCAAACTACAAAACAAAAGCTGTCATTAATTATTCGGCATTGTATCATCGCTCACATAATAGGTTTTCTTAACGATGTATCAAATTCTGCGATCATATAGAAGCGATGAAAAGTGTGATCTATTGCAATACGTATAAGTTGTTCAACATTAAGCTACTTAAGAAACTCATTTTTTACGACATCAAGCAAAAATGAAAAATTATAAATTCTATCGTAAATATTATAAGGTCTTTCTAACCGACATCGTCTTATATTTAATCAGTTAATGTTATTATTCCATTAAAAAATGTCCGCTAAAGATAATCAGATTTATTAAGGTCTTTATGAAACATTGGACAAAAATCTACGCACTTACATGGTCCATTACGTAAACATAAATGATATTATCTGTTATGTTTAGCGGGATGCGTCTTAAAAAGGTGAAGAATAAAAGGCAAGCACAGAATTCTTTGTAACAATAAAAAAAATAACTTTCTTTAAAAAAAATTGTGGATGTATACCTAATAATGAAGAATAATAGCTTTTTTTCAAATCCCAATAGATTATATTTTGTAGAAAAATAATAAAAATAAAAAAGTTTGTTGGCAACCACCATAAATAAGACCAATCAAGATTAACGAGTTGCTTTGAATTAACTAATTGTATTTTTTGTTTTGTTTTTATGTGTTAGCATATTTTTTAAAGTATAAAACAATGAGTTGCAAAAAAGAGATTTTACACCGCTTTAATAATAATCATAAATAAAAAGACATAATAGCATAACGTTAACATAATAATATAAACTTACGTTGAATGGTTCTCCGAGCAATGAATTTACCGTGCACTGGGCTAACAGTTTCATTTTAATCGATGTCTGTAGAGAAAATAATAGCATTTTAATTCAAATTGAATTAATCAACATTAAAATTTTATTAATTAATTTGTAAATTATATTCCTATAAAATATTGAAAGCATGGATAAAGAAATTAGTTAATTTAATTTCCATTTTCAGTAAAAATATTACGTATTTCTAAAACGAAATAAAACAATCCACAAGTAAATCTATTGCATATTTTTTTAGATAAATACAAATAAAAATTAATAATTAACAAATTATATTCTATATCTGGTTTTGGTACTTAAATATTTGGGATGTAGATATTTATATATAAGCTATACGTAAGTACACAAGTTGTATAACATTAAAAAAATATATATTCTTACCATTCTTGATAGAGCATTGATCTGAACCAATAACCATTCTGGGCAGTCACCACCCCCACAGAATTTGAATTTCTACATGAAACACAGCAAACAATACCCATTATACCATTATAATAAGCATTTCAGACATATTAAATTATCTTAAGTTATAGCGTTAGAACGCGTTTAAGCATCTATATAATCTACAAGAAACGTGGCTGACAGCGATTAACAAGGTTAGATTAATTACAAGACAGTATAAGTATTGTTTTACTCACCATTGTGACACGTTAATGACAAACGCCGCGGAAAAGGCTACCCAAAGGACCTACGGAATAAAAATAGATTATTTCGAGAGAAAACAAATATAATACAGTAAAATTGTTTTTTTTTTTTCATTTTATTTGGACACATAATAAAATAACATGTCGTCATATTCCCTGTACAAGCCTTGTCGACCCTCTAGTCGAAATTCATGAATAGTAGGGCTGGCAGTGTAATACAATAACCTAAGGGTGTGTACCCAGCACCATGAACAAGATTAAAATGGGAATCGGTACCGATCCCAGAGTTAATCATCGCGATCACCTGGTGTGTCCGAACTAAGGTACGTGTAAACATAATAATGTAAGGGTTATAAGGTCTATAAATACACGTAGCTTCTAAGGAAAGATGGACATTCGAACTGGACGTCATGGAGCTCATGGATGCAAGAACAAAGTTATACTTAATAAGTGTCGCCTATTTTGTACAGGTAGGTACATCGTTTGACATTAAATTATTTTTGATTATTTTTATTTACAATAATTTATGGTAGATAGTAGTACATATTTTATATTAGTTTCATTAATGTAAGTAATGAACACGCCACGACAAACTTTAATTAAATACAATTCAATCAAATACATTTCATTTAAATATATTTTAGAGACCAAAGAAACAAATTTATTATTGGAATATCTCGAAATATTTATTATTTTGAACATAATGTTCAATATAAATTATATTTCTTCAAAGTATTAGAATTGAAAAATTACGAAAACCGTTATAAAAAAATATAAATTCTGCTATTTAGTTTACACAAACATTAAACTGTTTCATTTTCAATTTTGTTTTCTAGTAGAATTATAAATATGTCTATAATAATAATACTGCATGGTAACGTATTATGTATTATGATTATTATATGTTTACGTATTTACAGCAATAATCTAATTAATTAGATGTATAATATGTATCAATAAAATATCATAGTTTGCAGTTTAATTTTAACTGCAATTGATGTGATGCATTTTACAAATATTTAGTAAATATTTTTCAATCATTTTTAATTTGAGACAATAGTTGCAAGTACATGAAAATATTTTGAAATATAGCTGGATTAGTGCACCCAAGAAATTATTTTAAAATGTAGATCATTTTTTAATACAATTATTTTGTTCCTTTTTCAGAGTATATATACCAATTATACTTGGACTATAGTTGACAAATCAACTGTAAACTCTAAAAAAAAGAAGGGTGTTTTTTGTGTTGCTCATTGTAGCATTTTCTATTTTAGTACAATAATAAATATATGCATGATGATTAAAAAATGATTAAATATATATTTATGGAATGAAATGTATGAAATAATTTATGAAACAGTAAAAAAAAATGTATGGGTAATTGGTATAGTATAGATTTCTAAAAACTTCAAAACAATAATTTATATAAAATATTCAATTCAATATTCTTTTTTTTGTTTGATACTAAATTATCTTTATACTAAAAATATGTGATTTTTTTCTAATAGTTTAAATCATTTTAAAATATAAATATAGGTATGGTAAATGACTGACATATTTTGAATACAATTTTTTTAGGAGCCAGGCTTTAATTACATATAATCCCATATGTTTAATTCCATTTTATTTTCGTAAAATACTATTATACGGTTCTCTTGCATACATCCCTTCTTACACAAATCCCTGGTATTAAGTAAGAATATATATTTAGGTAGATTTTGTGAAAACCGACTCTTATGTTTATAAAACAAGATCCATGACAAAACGTATATTATTGAAGCTTTAAAACGTGACACCTCCGAATGTCTCTGTAATAAATACTTAAACTTTTGGTAAAAAATCCAAATTCGAAATTTTTACAGCTTATAAATGGCGACGCAAGAATCTCAAGAGCCGATATTAGTGCAGTTTTGGGTGAAAACGACGATCCTAACTTTTGGCCTTCACGAGGTCGAAGAAATAGCCTGGAACCCAAATTCAAACAATACTTGGAGAGGAAATACAGCATGAATTCTTTAAACGGTAAAACAATATGCTATAATAGTATTTTGAAACCTTACTTTTTTATTAAAATAAAATATTTTTATTTATAGTTTCCATATTAATAAGATAATTTCAACACATTTATTGTTATTTGAGAGAATTATTTTAAATGATATTTCCAGACGTAAATTAAAATTAGATAGCGTATTGAATGTGAAAAAAATTATATTAATTAGAATGGCTAAAATTTTAAAAATGTGACAACTTAAATTTTTATTTTATATTCTTTATTAGAATTTTGAAACTAATCGAAAGTCTAATTAGTCTTTATAAGTAGATATTTTAAATAAAGTTGATTAGAGTAGTGGAAAAAAATTTTTCGGGTTACTGTTAGCAAAATCATACAGTATACTAAACACTACCTATATTGAATCAAAACCAAAACAATATCAGCGATCATCAATATTTAAAAAAAACCTGAGTGCTTTTCATGTATAGATGTAGGTATACTGGATTGCTAAATAATCTATTTATTTTAGTATAGGTAACGGTTTTATATCAATAAATATATACCTACTTGTAAATTGTAATCAATTTTGATGCTCACTGAACACTGTTTTGAATGTCACTTTTGGTTAAATTTTAAATTATTTATGGTCATAAAATATATTGGTTTTGTAAGCTTTTGTACTTTAAATAATATGTAGGATACGATTAACATTGCTAAAAATGTCAAATAAATATTGAGCTTTAATGTTAAAGGACATTTACAAAAGCCACTTTACGTTGATGAACCAATGTGGCTAACAATGGATAGAAGAGCTGAGGGAGATGATGACTATTTCTGGGTTACAAGAGGACGAAGAGCAAATAGTTGGAAGCATTCGACAGCTGCAAAACCAACAACAAATTCAAATTATCGTTATAGAGACGAGTCTGATAACAAAATTAAGTAAAAATTCGTTGTTACTATTTGGCAATAAATTATCATGTAGTGATTTATAATTTCTATAGTAAATTAAAATAAAATGTTTATTGGTTTATTAATTTGTTTTAATTTCATTGTTTTACCAAAATACCAAAACAGCGAAAATTGTCTTGTTTCATAACCAAAATAACTCCAACACGTTTGAAACAAATAACATCAAAATTAATAGTCTGTGTACCTACATTACATATTTATTATTTTTGAACAGTTTAACGGCGTATGAACTCATAAAACGATACAAAAATAACCCGTTGAAATAATAATAATCGTATAAAAACCTTAAACAGTATAAAAAAATATTATCATATTTTTATTAGAATATAAGAGTGTGTATATGAGCATTGCAATAAAAATAAATGCCAATGCGTGTGACACCACGTCACGCCTACTTGTTGCAAAATAAGAAATATAGCGCCACCCATCGTATTCGGGGAGTATATATCTTTAAGCGCTCTCTTGATATCCATCCTTTTAAAAGCTGATCTGGTAGTGGCGATAACTGTAGCCGTAGGGATTCCAACGCAATAATACAGGTAAGATATAACTAATATGCATGTAATGTATAAAAATTCACAATATTCGTTACATTTTTTATTTTTAAATAGCTCTACAGGTTTTTTTCTAAATTTAATAAATTTTCAAACCCTACTATTTGGTTAAATAATACTGATATTTGCCTAAAGAAGAATTAACAAGTTGATGTTAAATAGAAAACATTACTTAATTTATGAAAAATTAATATTACAGTACATAACCGTTTATTATATTTTAACAATGACCTATGAGTAATAGGTAGAAAAAAATAGAATAGGTAGGTATAAGGTTTATTGTTATGTTAATAATAATAACCCAATGATGCAGAATATATTATAATATATAATACTTGCTATATGGATTTATTATTATTTAAAACTCATATTTATAAACAACTGTATAACATTTATTAATTGTTGAGTGTTACCTAAATTTTTGTTATTTTTTTTTTAATGAATAAATAAGCGGTATTTATACTTGGATATAATATCAGATATTATGTACAGATTGTGAAAGTGTACACTTTACTGTTTAGACATCATCGTAATAAAATCTAAATTTAAATAATTTAAACCAATATTGAAGGGAAAAAATATTTAATACTTTTTTAATTAATTTCATTAATAGGAAGTTGAAAACAAACATTAATTAAGATTTTTTCAAGCTTAAAGACCTAATCAAAGTAATAATTTTAATGTTCAGAATATGATTAAGTAAAACAAAAGCTACATTTTTATACGTTCATACAACAATATATTAAAACACAACGTGAATTAATTTATTGGCTATACCAGACTAGGATTTCGTAATTATCTGCACTTTTTAAGTTATAAGGTTTTAATTAATCGTATGATATACTTCTTGGATATAAATAGTAACTAGACACACTAGAAGACATTAAAAAATATTTATTTAAAAATAATATTACATTTAACAACAAAGCAAAAAATAAAATTTGTATGTCAAAAGATTACAGTGTTACATATTTAACTAATACATATATTTCATAAAATTAGGTTTTTTAGTATAAATATTGAATAGGTAGTATTTATTGAAAATTAAATAATTTTGATACTAAATTATAAATTCCTAACACAACTTAAGAAATTTCATACAAATTCATACAGATTCAAATAGTATTCACGGTAACTAAAGAAAATAATATCTACATTTCGATTTGTGGTTGTACTTATGAATAATTTTACCGACGTTAGGAAGATAGTCATGAAGTAGCAATTATTTAAGCAAGTCATTGTTATAAAAGAATGAAAATCTAGATATTTTTATAAATATTGTTTATAGTGCGTATCACATTAGTATACTACATAGTAAAGCATAGTCATACATAGTATATAATATATTACTATATAATAAATAATAATTAATATGTATATACCATAAAGATTATAAAACTAAAGTACGTTGTTTCGTATATAGAATTATCATTCAAATTTAATATTTTAATATTTATGTATATTGTATGTACGTAAGAACGTTAATTTCAAAGTTTTTACTTTTTATTAAATTATTAAATAAAATAAAATTTTAAATTCTAACGTTTATAAAATAATGTTGCGAGACTATATAGTTCACAATAGTATGTTATTTTATTAGGCAGTAAAAATTATCAAAACTTTTTATGTAAGACTAAAAGATAAAAAATTACATGATACATCTAACACCGATTGAACTATTTAAGCGCATATAAAACAAGCCATTTAAGAATTTCCTTTAGTTTTTGAAAAATACCGTATATATATTATTAATTTTTTTTAATTTTTACACTTTTTTTATGTTATTTTATTCATACATGCGAATAAGCCATTAAAATTAAAATTAAATATAACCTATTTAATCATTTATAAATTATCTAAAGAAAAATATTTTCATTTTACTTTTAAAATTCTAAGAAAAAGTTTTAAGAACTTTTGGAAGAAGGTTAAAATATCATAGTTACGCCACTAAATATTAGAATGCCTAGTTTTTTAATCATTTTTATTTTATTCGAGTATTTAATGTTTTGTTTTTAAATTTATAAATAATAATTTAATTTAAGAGGACGCTACACAACCAATTGTTACAAGTATGGAACATAACAAATGTACGCTCAGCAGAGAATGTTTAGATCCGCTAGTTTAAAAATTAGAGTGAATCTACCTATTATAAAACTTGATGGTAAGAATATTATCTGTGTTTGTATGACGATTTTTTATGATAGTTCAATTTTTAGCAAGTTGTGGGTATATAATATAAAGTAGATTAAAACTATTCATAACTTACTTAAAAATGTAACCATCGTAAAAAACTCACATACAAACACAGATCAAGTTTCATAGGATTCACTCTTATTTTTAAACTAATGAAGCTATACGTGATCTGCTGAACTTAAATGTGCTATGTTAAGCATTTGTGAGACGAACACAACAAATTCTAGTGTTACGCCCTCCCTCTTAAACTCAAAACATTAAGTAACTTAAATACAAACATTATATTTGAATATTCAATATACTATAATATTTATACAATATATTTTATTAAACTATTAAATAAAATTGTAGATTCATTGGTTCTTATTTAAAAGAAAAATTAAGTTGCTTCAGTAATGTAATACTTATACTAATATAGGGTTGCCATAAAAGTTCAAGTACTGATCGGGACATTTACAAAAATAATTTGAACCTTTTTTTTTTTTTAATATTAAAATTTAGAACACAGTGTAATAAATATAAATATGTATATAGAATACAATTATAATAGTATTGAATTATGAAAGACATTAAATTAGAAGATACATTTGATTATGTAACGAAATATTATTTATTTATTTATTTTGAAATATTATATTTTTCTGACTTTTTCACCTGTTTCAATAGCTCTGGTTTTCCCATATAGCATTAGGAGTGTTCAACGTGAAATTCATGGTTTTAGAATACAAATATAATTTTTATAAAAACATAATTTAATATAATTATTGGTAATAATATTATTTACACATAACCGGGACTTTTGTAGGGTCTAGTGGGACGACCGGGACCGAAGTCATGAACTGGTGACATGTCCCGGTGTACCGGGACGTATGGCAACCCTATACTAATAGTACTACTTTGTTACTATGCTGAAACACAATTAATATTATTATGAAGAATTTGTAAATGTTGAATCCAATGCATTAACATAGCTGATAACACTGTGCACTAAATAAATAAACACAAAACGTCAAGAGAATTCGTTATTATAGTGTTCAATGATTTTTTCTATTGGTTAATATCAACTATACAGTATAATTGGTTAATAATGATACAAATAACTAATAATAATTGATAATTTTTATTTTAAAACGACTTATCCAAATATTCATTGTTTTTACGTCTCTATAGCAGCATTTTGTTTTAAAACATTAACATCTTTCATAGGTAAGTAGTTAACTATTTCTGAACAGGAAAATTAATATGAGTTTCGTCAAAGTTTTTGATTAAACGAGTTGAGTCAAGTCATTGCAAGGATCGTAGAAGTCTTTATATAAACTTTGCAATGATATGATGATTGCAGTAATATTAGCCCATGTCTTCAGATAAAGTTGACGATATGAAACATATTATTTAAAATATCTATATAAACAACGGTGTATATATTATTATACACGCGGTCATATGATTTGTTGTGTTCTCAAGTGTATTAAAATCTCGATTAAAATAAATATATTCTATAGGTGTGTATAAGATATGTGTATTTAGTAAACATATATTTTTCTATTTACACATTTTATAAATAAAAATACACTTTTCTATTCTACTATTTTTATTATGCACTTTTTTCAGTTCATAGTAGGTGAATAGTAAGTCAAATGTTCGTACAAAGTATGTAGGGATTGATCGAATTGAAGTTTTCAAGAATTCGAACTGAATCTCCATCAATATTCGAACTTATAATGATATGACCATAACAAATTTTAAAATATTACAGAAGTAAAACAGTTTTTACACTTAACAAAAATAATTCAAATTAATCTGCTGCCATACTTGAATACATTTCAAACTTTATTGTACTAGATTTATTCAAACGGTTCCAGATGTTAGAATTCAAGCTTAAATTTGTCTGGAATTTCAAACTTTTTGAATTTCTTAAAGTTTGTGGTGTTCGAAGATTTGAAAAATTCAAGAACCGTTTACCTAGAAATTGGTCATCTTTAGCTGTCGGTTTAATGTAAAAATGGTCTATGTCTTATAATACCAGTCGGCATGCTTAAGTACCTAATAATTTCTACATTGAGTTGTTTCTTCTGTAACATATTTATTAAGAGAAGTTAAAGGAGCAAATCAAATTTCATTCAATACTCCCATAGATTATAATTTAATTCAGACTGTAATTGAAGTAACTTTTTAATTTACCAGTATTTTTAAGAAATTCTAAAAAAAAATTATGATGATAGCTATTTTCTATGGAACTAGGCTTACTTTAGTGTTGGCATACAGCTTAAAAATGAAGGCTGATTTATTTCGAACTTCTTTTTTCGTCTATATA